ATTGTAAAAGCGTCTGTGTGCAAAAAGGGTCTGTGTGTAAAAGGGTCTGTATGTAAAAGCGTCTGTGTGTAAAAGCGTCGGTGTGTAAAGGAGTCTGTGTGTAAAAGCCTCTGTGTGTAAAAGCTTCTGTGTGTAAAGGAGTCTGTGTGTAAAGGAGTCTGTGTGTAAAAGCCTCTGTGTGTAAAAGCTTCTGTGTAAAAAGCTTCTGTGTTTAAAAGCTTCTGTGTGTAAAAGTGTCTGTGTGTAAAAGGGTCTGTGTGTAAAAGTGTCCGTGTGTAAAAGCGTCTGTGTGTAAAAGTTTCTGTGCGTGTAAACGCGTTTGTGTGTAAAAGTGTCTGTGTGTAAAAGCGTCTGTGTGTAAAGGAGTCTGTGTGTAAAAGCGTCTGTGTGTAAAAGCTTCTGTGTGTAAAAGCTTCTGTGTTTAAAAGCTTCTGTGTGTAAAAGTGTCTGTGTGAAAATTGGTATGTGTGTAAAATGGTCTGTGTGTAAAAGTGTATGTGTGTAAAGGAGTCTGTGTGTAAAAGCCTCTGTGTGTAAAGGCTTCTGTGTGTAAAAGCTTCTGTGTTTAAAAGCTTCTGTGTAAAAGTGTCTGTGTGTAAAATGGTCTGTGTGTAAAAGTGTCCGTGTGTAAAAGCGTCTGTGTGTAAAAGTTTCTGTGCGTGTAAACGCGTCTGTGTGTAAAAGTGTCTGTGTGTAGAAGCTGCTGTGTGTAAAAGCGTCTGTGTGTAAAGGAGTCTGTGTGTAAAAGCTTCTGTGTGTAAAAGCTTCTGTGTTTAAAAGCATCTGTGTGTAAAAGTGTCTGTGTGTAAAATGGTCTGTGTGTAAAAGTGTCTGTGTGTAAAAGAGTCTGAGTGTAAAGGATTCTGTGTGTAAAAGCGTCTGTGTGTAAAGGAGTCTGTGTGTAAAAGCCTCTGTGTGTAAAAGCTTCTGTGTGTAAAAGCTTCTGTGTTTAAACGCTTCTGTGTGTAAAGGTGTCTGTGTGTAAAATGGTCTGTGTGTAAAAGTGTCTGTGTGTAAAAGCGTCTGTGTGTAAAAGCGTCTGTGTGTAAAAGCGTCTGTGTGTAAAATAGTCTGTGTGTAAAAGTGTCTATGTGAAAATTGGTCTGTGTGTAAAATGGTCTGTGTGTAAAAGTGTATGTGTGTAAAGGAGTCTGTGTGTAAAAGCCTGTGTGTGTAAAAGCTTCTGTGTGTAAAAGCTTCTGTGTTTAAAAGCTTCTGTGTGTAAAGGAGTCTGTGTAAAAGTGTCTGTGTGTAAAAGCGTCTGTGTGTAAAGGAGTCTGTGTGTAAAAGCGTCTGTGTGCAAAAGCGTCTGTGTGTAAAAGTGTCTGTGTGCAAAAGCTTCTGTGTTTAAAAGCTTCTGTGTGTAAAAGTGTCTGTGTGTAAAATAGTCTGTGTGTAAAAGTGTCTGTGTGTAAAAGCGTCTGTGTGTAAAGGAGTCTGTGTGTAAAAGCGTCTGTAGGTAAAGGAGTCTGTGTGTAAAAGCCTCTGTGTGTAAAAGCTTCTGTGTGTAAAAGCATCTGTGTTTAAAAGCTTCTGTGTGTAAAAGTGTCTGTGTGTAAAATGGTCTGTGTGTAAAAGTGTCCGTGTGTAAAAGTTTCTGTGCGTGTAAAGGCGTCTGTGTGCAAAAGTGCCTGTGTAAAAGCTGCTGTGTGTAAAAGCGTCTGTGTGTAAAGGAGTCTGTGTGTAAAAGCGTCTGTGTGTAAAGGACTCTGTGTGTAAAGGAGTCTGTGTGTAAAAGTGTCTGTGTGTAAAAGCGTCTGTGTGTAAAGGAGTCTGTGTGTAAAAGCCTCTGTGTGTAAAAGCGCCTGTGTGTAAAGGAGTCTGTGTGTAAAAGCTTCTGTGTTTAAAAGCTTCTGTGTTTAAAAGCTTCTGTGTGTAAAAGTGTCCGTGTGTAAAATGATCTGTGTGTAAAAGTGTCTGTGTGTAAAAGCGTCTGTGTGTAAAGGAGTCTGTGTGTAAAAGTGTCTGTGTGTAAAGGAGCCTGTGTGTAAAGGAGTCTGTGTGTAAAAGCGTCTGTGTGTAAAAGCGTCTGTGTTCAAAAGCGTCTGTGTGTAAAAGCTTCTGTGTGTAAAAGCTTCTGTGTTTAAAAGCTTCTGTGTGTAAAAGTGCCTGTGTGTAAAAGCTGCTGTGTGTAAAAGCGTCTGTGTGTAAAGGAGTCTGTGTGTAAAAGCGTCTGTGTGTAAAGGACTCTGTGTGTAAAGGAGTCTGTGTGTAAAATGTAAAAGTGTCTGTGTGTAAAAGCGTCTGTGTGTAAAATAGTCTGTGTGTAAAAGTGTCTATGTGAAAATTGGTCTGTGTGTAAAATGGTCTGTGTGTAAAAGTGTATGTGTGTAAAGGAGTCTGTGTGTAAAAGCCTGTGTGTGTAAAAGCTTCTGTGTAAAAGCTTCTGTGTTTAAAAGCTTCTGTGTGTAAAAGTGTGTGTGTAGAATGGTCTGTGTAAAAGTGTCTGTGTGTAAAAGCGTCTGTGTGTAAAAGTTTCTGTGCGTGTAAACGCGTCTGTGTGTAAAAGCGTCTGTGTTCAAAAGCGTCTGTGTGTAAAAGCTTCTGTGTGTAAAAGCTTCTGTGTTTAAAAGCTTCTGTGTGTAAAAGTGTCTGTGTGTAAAATGGTCTGTGTGTAAAAGCCTCTGTGTGTAAAAGTTTCTGTGTGTAAAAGTGTCCGTGTGTAAAAGCGTCTGTGTGAAAAAGTTTCTGTGCGTGTAAACGCGTCTGTGTGTAAAAGTGTCTGTGTGTAAAAGCTGCTGTGTGTAAAAGCGTCTGTGTGTAAAAGCTTCTGTGTGTAAAAGCGTCTCTGTATAAAAGCGTCGCGTTTCTTCACATCCGAGGAATGATTGTACCGATCTTTTTCGGCAATGTGTGTAGGATTTTTTTTAGTAAAATGAGGTAACACATGTCATTTGCAGCATCATGGTACCGAGCCTCCTGTGCACTTTTGTTGCTCACATTGTATTTCTCCATGTTTTCTTTCTATCTCCCTTTCCTTCTCTCTCTCTCTCTCTCTCTCCCCCCTCTTTCTCTCTCTCTCTCTCTCTCTCTCTCTCTCTCGCTCTCTCTCTCTCACCCTCTCCCTCTTTCTCTCTCTCCGTCTCCCTCTCTCTCATATAAAATTCACCAACCATTCACCGACTACCTTTTACGACTACCATCCTCAGAGCTGCTTGAAAAACATCTTTTTCGCTCTCGGGCCAACCGTCGTCTAGTTAGATCACACACCACCCTTCATCATAGTCGATTCCATTGCTTCTTATTCTTTTGTTATGTATTGTTAGATCACGCACCACCCTTCATCAATTCCATCGCTTCTTATTCTTTTGTTATGTATTGTTAGATCACGCACCACCCTTCATCATAGTCAATTCCATCGCTTCTTATTCTTTTGTTTTGTGTTGTTAGATCACACACCACCCTTCATCATAGTCAGTTCCATTGCTTCTTATTCTTTTGTTATGTATTGTGAGATCATGCACCACCCTTCATCATAGTCAATTCCATCGCTTCTTATTCTTTTGTTATGTATTGTGAGATCACGCACCACCCTTCATCATAGTCAATTCCATCAAGTATAGATCGCGCACCACCCTTCATCATAGTAAAAGTCATTCGTAACTCGGAAGTATTGCTTCCCAACTTCCTTTGATCACTGGTGAATCATGCTATACATTTTGCTGCTGTGACACCTTTTCCCAGGCTAGCAAAAAAACAGCTGCAGACAAAACAACAAAAGCAACATTGGGATAAGACCCAAATATTCATGTATGAAGCCTGGCATATATAAGACAATACTTATTCAACATCTTCGCATGTTCCCACCCATCCCTTGACATGCTAACCACTTGGCTAACCAGTTAGCTAACCACTTAGCTAACCCCTTTGCTAACCACTTAGCTAGCCACTTAGCTAACCACATAGCTAAGATAACACAGTTTAGCATGAAGAGCCCTTAACCACTTAGCCAACATAGGCTAACCACTTAGCAAAATGCTAACCACTTAGCCTCTGAGGGCTAACGATTCGTAACCTAGCTGGCTGGTTAGCTAACTTCGCTAATTGGTTGCATCACTTGCAACCCATTGCAACAAGGATACAATGCATTTAGCATGCACTTACTATCCAGTTGATAAGTAGCATGGTAAGTAGGCTAAACCTATCTATCCATTTAGCAACCCCCAAGAACATTAAAGTACGACTACGACTGCGACTACGACTACGACTATATACGACCACGACTATATACGACCACGACTATATACGACTATATACGACTACGACGACTACGACGACTACTACGACTATACTACGACTACTGCGACTACTACGACTACTACGACTACTGCGACTACTGCGACTACTGCGACTACTGCGACTATACTACGACTACTACGACGACTACGACGACTACGACGACGACGACTACGACGAGGACTACGACGACGACGACCACCACCACCACCACCACCACCACCACTCCTACTCCTACTCCTATGCCTACTCCTATACTTCGACTCCTCTACTCCTCTACTCCTTCCTCCCTTCTTCCCAAGTACTACACTGGTAGTGCCGGTAGCTATAATGACATTGCCTATACAGCATTACCGTCGTCTACAGGTACTCGTCACAGGACGCACACGGTACTGATTGACCAGTACTCATTTGGTATGCGTTCCATTGGTTGTTCAAGCACGCGCTTGCTACTCAAGCTGCTTCTGGTCTACGGCTTTGTCTTCGTCTCTTCTTCTCTCAGGCTTGCACGTCAACCTCCCTTGGGGCAATCTCTCTCCCCTGTCTCCTTCCATGCAGCGGTCTGCTGTCAAGCCAGAGGCTCATACATAGCGCTACTTTACTGGGGGCGGTACTAATTTGATATATGGTCAATAGGACAATAGGTTGTTACAGCAAACCTTGCTACACAAGCCGCTTCCGTTTTACGGCTTTGTCTTCGTCTTCCTTTCTTATCTTCTTCTTCTTCTTCTTCTTTTCTCTTCTGCTCTTTCGCAGGCTTCCACCTAGAACGCACATGAATCAAACTCCCTTGGGGCCACCTCTCTATGGCCGGCACGCTTCCCGAAGGCAATTAAATACCCCCGGCCTTCTCCACTTGTTTTCTGGCTTGCAGCGCCAAGCTGAACTGCAATGCGGTCCATGAACGTCACGATAAAGCGTTCTGCATCCACAGCCGTTGCTTTCTTGGCAGGGTCCTCAAGATCAACATCAACGTGATGCTCTTCGACACCACGACCCTGACGCGGGTACTGCGAACAAAGTTCCTGGTACTCAAAGATCCTCTGATGCAAGAGAGGCTCAGATAAAGAATTGAGATACCCCGACCCTCCAAGACCTCTGGGAATCGGAGCGCACAAATTCCCACCTCTTTTCTGCACAATGTTCACTTGGGCTTTCCACATGCACTTGGTGTCTTCCATCGCCGGATGCCAACATGCGAGTTCGCAATCAGAGATGACCTTGAGGATGCGCTGCATTTCTGCCTCACTGATCCATCCTTCCTTATAAGACAAGTATGCCCCAAAGCCCATGCAAGTGCCAACAGCATGTCCATGTAGCATCCCCGACGGCAGCTCATAACCAGGGCTCCATGTATGGCCATAGGCATGAGGTCGACACTGATGAGTTTCCCACAGGTTTCCATACTCTGCGCGCACATATCCCTCCATTGCTTTCCCGATAATGAGGTCACACACCTCCTGGAAAGTTGCATCATCACTCTCGCTTAAACTGCCAAAGTTAGTTGCTACAAGTTTTGGACCCCACTTCTCCATCAATTCGAAAAGTCGCAAATCTGTCATCACTGCCATCTTAATGATCTCAGCGACGCCATGTCGCAACTGACCTGGGTGCATTGTCTTCCAGAAACCACGATCCGTGATGGTCAGAATGGGCGGGTGATAAGCACCGTAGAGGTTCTTGTAGCTAAACCCATTGCAGCACACTCGAGGTGAAGGGCCGGCATCAATGCCAGCAACCAGCGATGTGCAGAGCATAACGTACCTTAGGCGTCTAAAAATTAAAAACCCTGCAGGCTTCTTGTCAATGATTGGTTGCCTTTAAATATTTTAATTGAGACTCAGGTACGGCGTGTTCCTGGAATAGAGAGCGCATGCCATGCCAGCAATGTCCGCAATGACACCACCACCGACAATCAAGACAGGTTCATGACGGGCCTGGTTGTGCTTCTTCAGAGCCAGGAGAATAAGTTCCACATCACTGAGGTTCTTGTCCACTTCATTGCCGCTGAAGACAAGTTTCACGAACTCGATGCCATGTGCGTGGAAGTACCCCTCCAAGTCAGTGCCATAGTGATCGTCAACCTTGTCGTCAACCACTGCCACGCAGCGGCCTAATGGCTTGTAGACATCATACAGCAGTCTGTTGGAAGGTTGAAGGACATCACGAGCAATTTTGATAGTCGTAGTGATAGTGGTGCTCATCACTGACTCGATTGTCAAGGCATCCTGTGCCGCCAAGGTCAAACCATCACTTTGTCGATAAATTGATGTGGGGAAGCTTCCATGTGGTTCCACAACCTCCACGTAGTGAGCGTTCTGGTCATAGACGGCGCGCACCGGTTCAGGCATGCCCTTCAAGTCCTATTGATGAGGCGCGTGTGGCATACAGTGCTATGCTAGCTCGTGTCGTGCTGAGTCGTGCCATGCTATATTAGACTAGACGTGGTGTGGGAGGCGCGCACGTTATCCCATGCGGGTGCCATGTGGTGTGACGCGGGGCATGCTATGCTCTGCTATGTTTTGTGATGTTGCACATGTTACATGAGGTATGCCACGTATCCGGTGTTATGCAGGCATGTCTCAAACTGGGAGCCCTCACCATCCCCAAAATGTCGGTTTTCAAAGGGAAACGAATGGGTGGCTGGAATACTGAAGCCACACTGTTTTTGGCATACGTCGGACACGCGGGGTTTTTGCCCGGGGCCGCGCCGAAAAGCTAGACTCAAGCAAACCAAAGCACGTCAAATTTGCAGCCACACGTGCGGATGCACAACCAGGAAAACAGGGACAGATCCAAGCAACACGAGCAGCACAGGCAGCTAATGGCACAAACCACGCGCCAAGCAGCAATGACACCAAAGCCATACGTCAAAGGCGTTGTGCCAAGTATCGTATGTGAAGTACGTCCGCTACGCTGTTGTATGGTATGTGATCTTGTGTGTGTGTGAAGAATGTATGCTGCGCTATATTCGGCGTGATCTTCACCATGGAAAAGATGCCGTTCTCATTGGCTTCCATTTGTGGAAAACAAACAATTCTTGACTATGTAACCGCAAGGGCAGCAAGGGTCTTTGATAGCCACCACACAATCTTGCTCTTGTGCCAGGTCGTGTTGCAAACTTTGGAACGGGGCAGCATGCTCTGGCATCAGTTGCTCTGCCAACCGCTCAAGCAAGATGGCCACGTGACTCTGCGGGAGGTTCCAGAAGTATTTCAACTGCTTCAACACCGAGAGCAATGGGAGGCAGGCCTGCAATCCAAAAAAAAACGAAGGATCTCTAGCCACATGTGAACATGGTCTTTTGATTTCTGAGCCGGTAATGCAGCAAACATCAACAAACCAACTCAAAAAATTGCGCCACACAGTCCTTGAACGCAAGTCCGAACTCATGCGAAAATACAGCTAGCCTTGACACGGCCTGGAGCAACTCCAGCACCTGCAGAGTAGAAAGCAGAACTAGCATTCTCTGCTGCGGATCTTCTGCAGCAACTTCTTCGAGACTGCGTGCCCCTGCTTCAACCATTGCTCGAGCCTTGGCACGAATCTGGGCCGCTTGGATTACATCCAACTTGTAGTAGTTGATCTCAGTGACTCCATCAGTGTCAGCCCCAGCTTTCTCAAGTACTTTCACAGAAACCTTTCTCACCGAAGAGCAACGCTTTCGGTGAGCTGATGCAACAGCAACGCTAAGTAAGCAACTCAGCAAAGTTCCGAAAGATCTCGCAAACGAGTTGCCACTATGGTGCGGTGTGCGCATGTGGTTCAGACTTGGAAGTGTTGCCTGAGTCGTCTGGTCCATGTACGGACTTCGCTGGCTGCCAAAGGGCAAAGCAAATGCTGTCATGGCTTTCTCTGAAGTCAGGGAAGGGCGACGTAAAACTGAAAAAGCATGACTGCAAACGAGAGAAGTTGCTGGGGTTGTCCCCTCTCTTGGAAACAAATTTCAATTCTGCAGCACCTCACTACAACACTCCGTGATTGATCACAAGGATCACCATGTTAATTGGATCGACAAACAAGGCACACTGATCTGTCATGTCATGTTAAGAGACCTGACATCGCAAACCAATCCCAAGCTCAGCCTTCAAAGGGCAGCTTCCACGTAGCTCATAGAGTCATAGAGGATTACCCCTGTGCCGTGGCCAAACTGTCAGGCCAAGGGTTAGTTCGCCAGGTGACAAACCCTATTCTTTCCAGGCGAAAAGGTCGGATGTTGAGCTGAGCCAACTGTCAACCACCACTTATTTGTGCTGCTTTCGCTAGCCTACGCAGCGAAGGACTTGCAACAGTCCCGATGGTTCTAATCTACGGGATTTTGCTCCCGTTCTGTTGCTTTGTTCCCTACACTATAAGGTCGGTGTGATCACAACCAATGTACAATCCCTTTGTAAAGCTCCACGATGATCCACGACCCTCCTTCGATGTTCCACGTTACCGTTTCTCTTCGCTTCTCTTTACTTCTTTGAGTCGTTTGAATCAAGTCACAGCTTCTCCTGACAGACCTCCAGACCAATTCCACTTCCAATGGCCTCCAAGTCTCAGGTGTGAGTGTGACTGACCCTAAACTTCTCAGCGACAACGATTGACTTATAAAAGCGATTGAACGTAGTCTATACAGCAGATTGTTTGAAAAGCGCAAGCCAACATCCAGTAGGTCAACAGTGATCAATTGATCAACTGGCGCCGAAGTGAACCCTGCCTCCTGTCTTTGACCTCGCAAGCGCAATCTGAAAAAGCTGAAAGGTTATAGATTATGACACATCTGAAGTGGGTAAGGGCAATCTGTTGCCCGAAGTGTAACATAATCGCCTGAAAGGTCGTTATTCCCGCCCAAATAGTGTAATATAGACAGGGTTGCTTGCAACACTCCAGGACAGGGGGGGTAGATTGGGTAAATTTCCTACCGTTTGGGCTATCATTCATTTACCTATAATGGGCTGGAGGGACCCTGATAGATGTGACATGACGTGACCAACAAAATCATTTACCCGTGGAGCTGAGAATCATCTGCTGGATGAGCAAAGTAGCAAAGATTGAAAACCACCAGCCAGCAACAAACATGTCCAAAACCATCAAAAACCTGTATCCTTTGTAGGCCTCAACTTAAAAATGTCCAGCTGCGCTTTGGCAAAATATAGATAAGAAAAACTGTAGTGAACCAATGATGAACAACGCAATCCTGCAGTTCACTAACAGTTCACTAACCATCGCGGTTCACCATCACCCAGACCCGATGTTTGTCATCGATTGGCACCTCGAAAGTTCAGCGAGGTGCCCGCTCAATGGTTGCATTCAGCAGACGCGGATGGATCCCTTCAGATCTTCCACCATGTTGTGAAGCCTCACCACCCAAGGACCCAGGGCTTGAAGGGCCTGAGGCTTCAGCTTTGAACACTTTTCCAGCCTCCGGTATATTGGGTGCACTGAAACTGCCGCAGAAAGTATTATGAAAGCTGACCGCATTTTAGTTGGACTCTCTTTTTTCATCATTTTCCCAAGTCTAGTTGGATAAATCCACCATCTTCGGAAGGCATCCGCTTCGGTAGTGCCATGGAGGGCACTGAGGATGTCTCCAAGAACAGAAGAAACAAATGGCATCTGGTGGATTACCTGGCCAGAGCTACCACCCCTGCCTTTGCCGCCAGAAGTGTGTTGCTGAGTTTGTCTTTTGCTGTCTCCACGCTCTCTATACCTGCCACGTGGACATGCCTTCTGGGGTACTATCCTGATCAAACCGAATGGGTGGTTGTAGGTGGTCATTTTTTCGGACCTTTTGCCAATAGGCAATCCAAAATTCTTGGCCGGCAATTTTCAGCCAATCGAACGTCGCTACCTCTACACGTCCGTATTTGTTCCACAAAATATCCAAAACATATCTAAATCATACCTAGGACCTAGATCATATCTAAATTATATGCAAAATACATTCAAAATACACAGCATGTTGAAAGAAAAAAATTATTTCCACCATTTACACAAAACACGCGATAAGGTCAAAACATATCTAAAACATTCTAAAACACATTCAAAATACACTTTTTTTCACTTTCGAGCTGCTGTGCACGTCTGCACTTGGCGTCTTGCAAAATCGCTGGAAATGCGATGTGAAACCCCTTTGCTCACCTCTGTACAGCAGCACCATGAAAGTCCGGTTGGACTCGATCGGTGCCCACAAAATTCGAGCAAGCAAAGGGCAAAAGGTCCTCAGGGACGCGGTAATTGAGCCCCTGAGGATAAATTTTGCACTTGGCCGTGCGAAATGCGCCATCCTCTTGATGCCCTTGAGCTGCTGGTGAGCTCCGCGGCCATGTGAACACCTACCAGCGTGACCACGGCGCTGCAGGAGGCTTCGCAGCGTAGGGAGCCGCAAATGCAGGATCTTGGTCGGCTTGACCGCTTCCGCGCCGAGCTCACATTGGTCGAACGACGATGTGATGCCCACGCACCTTAGCAACCGTAGTGCTCGGACAGCATGAAGTGACCAGATGCTTGCGGGCTCTCGCGAAAGCAACCACACGGGATAGCGCGTGCTCACAAAATCCACTGGCGAGTAGCAGCAGCATGTCAAAAATGAACTGGAGCAAGCGGGTGCCGACCAGCACGTGCGTCCATTCTCCAAGTCGTAGGTCTGGTCGCCCCCAAGGAAAGAGGATGCGCTCCGCAGCGGCCTCGGCCCATCATCCTGAAACCTTGCTGCTGAAAAGGTCTCACAGGGGGGGCCTCCACCAGCCCCGATCACCTGACCGGAACCAATGCGCTTCTCCCAAAAGGCATGCGCAGCGGGGGCGATGAGATTGCCCTGCTCATGCTGGATACACATGTCGACGGAGACGACGAAGACTTCAACGCCAGGGGAGACTTGACGATGTTCGAGGAGGGCATGCAGGTCACCGTGCCTGGGGTACCCCGAAAAGAAGTGCACGAAGACGAGGGACTTAACGTTCAGGATGGCATACTCCTTCGCGAGGCTCCTCATCATCCAAAACCTTGAGCCTCTCCGCCGAAACTGGGGGAAAGCACGCCCGCAAGGTGGCCAAACAGTGCGAGGCATCCCGCAAGTGCTCAATAAGCCGGCTCCTTTTTTTTGATAGAGCCGGCAGCACCCATGGCATTCGTGGCCGACTGCAAAGAGTCCCAGTAGCCGCACTAGCCGTCGATACCCATGGACTCTGGCAGAGTGAGTTGCCAGGGCTCGCTTGGAAGCAAACGATTTCTCGCACTGGTCACACGTCCATTTTGTCTCACAAACTGGTGGCAGATCAGAAAGCACACCTCCAGCTTCCTGATAGATAGCATCAAACCTCTTCTGCCATACCTGCGCTTCAGCAGTGGCCTGTCTAAAGGAGGCACAGCCTTTTTCCAGCTGTCTTCACTCTACCATTCCAACTCGTGTCCAGTTGAATGAGCGAAATCCATGCATGGATGTCCTTGGCCTCGGGAACCTCGAAGTGGTCCGAGTAGAACTGCTTGAACCATGCGAAAGAACCTTCACAAGCGGTGATCCAGGAATCATCGGCACCTGACACCTGCAATCACCATGAGCAATTGCCACAAAACCATCGGGCACACCGCAAAGAGCCGCTTGAGATAGCGCAACCTTGCCATATGTAGCAAGTCCTCCGGCGGAAGGATACGCAGAATGCCACAAAGGACAGGCGCGTCTAAGAGCAACGGCGAAACGCCAGAAGTGTGCCCCTTAGCGAGCAGACCCAAGGGCTTGCGGATAGCATTTTGCCACTTCTGTATCTGAGCTGGTGGGCAAGGCGACCAAATATGGGCATTCAGTACAACAGAGAATAGTCCTTTCCTAGGTTCGGGCTCAACGGGCCCGACGGGCCCAACGGGCCCAACGGGCCCAACGGGCTCCAACGGGCCCCAACGGGCCTGCTTCACGGGCTCAACGGGCCCGACGGGCCCAACGGGCCCAACGGGCTCGAGAGACCGTGGCGCTGAATGAACCCATCATCCCTTCTGGTGCTGGCGTTACACTTTACATTCAATTGGGAAGATCAACAACGGTACTGGGAATATAGATTCCCACCCCCGGCTAACTTAATATTCAAAGGGGAAAATCAACAAAGGCATTAGGAATTTAGAATCACATCTCTGTTCAACTTTACATTCAAGCAGGCAAATCAACAAGGGTAATTATTTGGCATATAAGTTCCCCGCCTGTGAATTTTACATTCAATTGGGAAGATCACCGATAGGTATTTAGAATAAAAGCTCCCTTAGAAACATAATTGCCCACCCTGCTTGAACTTTTAGATTCAAGTGGGAAGATCACAACAGGTATTAGGAATATAAAAAATCCCACTCTCGTTTGCTTTTGCTTTCGACTGGAAAGATCAACAAGGGATGATGATGATGATGATGATGACGACGGTTCGTTGCCCATCGTCGTTGCCCTGCCAGGCAAAACCCAGGCATTAGCCGTATTTCAACATATGTGTATATACATAAATGTATGCATCTTGTATCTTTCTAATGCGTATACACACATAAATATTTATTTATTGAGTGATTGTTCTTTATGTATATCTTATACCTAATTACATCTGGTTGTAGATGAAAAAATGTATGATTCCAGCACGCCATTGGGATCATGTTTCCAATTTTCGTCGCTTTCCTGCTTCAGTCATCCATGGCTAATGCACATGCTTTCTGTTCTTCATTTGGTTACAGATATTATTCCACCAGATGTTGATTAGTTCGGCACCAGCTGTTGACTACCAACCGGTGAAACAAAATCCTTCGGATCCACTCGGGGTATGATTTGTCAAGCGGTGCCGTTTGCAGATTCTGTGATTCTTTCCTAGACAGCGGCCACAAAAAAAAATCCCGTGCTTCGCTTCATCCTTTTGTGACCATGATGAGAGGTGATGGTGCCTTTGGAAATTACATGATGATTTTTCCTTGT